TCGTCTTCTCCAGCTCCCCTGCAAATGCCAAACACAAGGAGAAACGAGTACTTAACCAAATGTGTTGTGGAATCTTTGACACCTAATTACCCCACAGTAAGAAAAGTTGAATGAAAAAAAAAATGATTGTAACAACTAAATTATCAAAATTTAAGACGTAACTATCCTAAATACTTATGAATTTTTCATAAACATTTATAGGCAACCACTGAGGTAAGCGTCTCATGGGAGAGACCAATACTTTTCAGTGTGTTGGGTGTCTCCCTCTCGGCATTCCGCCCGCAAGTGAGGAAGTCCGTGCTTATTTAAGACCTTATCGTCAAGCGGTAGCTGCAAAGATGTTGGCGTGCCGGTTTCCAGTTGTCGGAGTTGCTCCGCTTAGATGCGGGACAAGATTGGGTGGGAGAAGCGACGGGGGAGGTGACTGCCGAATAGGTTGACGAGCTGAGTAAGCAAAATTGTGATAATTGTGTTGAGTGCCCTGAGACTCGAGGCTCGACAGCTGAACCCCCAACGGAGGCGAAGAGGGAGATGCCCAAGACGAAGAAGACGGCGGCGGCACTGGAGTATAACGTATAACGTTCGAGATATGCTCGCTTTTCGCTCCCCCTTGCCAGTGGAGTGGAGTTGAATTGAAGCGCATCGTGGCTAACAATAAAAGTTGCAAAGGGCGCACAGTGGGCTAAAGTGAGATGATATCGCGCCATAATTATGGCCATTACACGGGCGACAAAAATCTCATTTTAGTGCGGTAATTTTCGGTTGGAGCTCTCCCAGTGATTGGCCGTAGCTATAGGTGATCATGACTAACCATTACATAAGTCACAAGGTCAACCGTAAAAGGAAAAGCTTTGAGCATGGAAAATATATTTTCTCGAATCTAGATAAGGTGTTTTTTTCTTTTTCTTAATTTTGGTACTTGGGTAAGCGAATCTCTTCAACTTTTGAGCCAAATTTTCCCTGATTTTAGGTAACCTTAAGGTTAATGTTAATGAACATTTCCTGTTTACTATTTTTCTAATCATATAATTCAGTTCAAAGGATATTTTGATTTTCTCATACCGGAGCTACGAAATTAATTTTTTTTCCTATTGATAGACAATTAACATTTTTGAGCTTTGCAAAGCTCTCCATTGATTTCCCCAGATTGACCCATTTATAATTCACCGGGCGTTCAAGCCGAGCTCTCACACTTAACCCATGGACACACGTTCACACTGTGGCCGTAATAATATGCATGTGGAAATGTTCGTGTCTAATCAGGAACGTGGGGAAGTGGAGCAACTAGGGGTTCGGCACGGCACGGAGATCCCTGGTGGGGCTACGGTTACACAACCACCGAGGCTGCTCTTGAACCACTGCAGCTGCGGCTGGATCTGCATCTGCAACTGCAACCGAGGAGGCCACTGGAAATGGCAATTGCATCCAAATTGCAATTGACGCACACGCATCTGCGAGTATGTGGAATGCGAAGTGCTCGAGAATGGCAAGCGGCGAATGGAAGCAGTACGAAAACAACAAAAAACGGAATGAGTAACACGGACCAGGGGGAGCGCCCACAAAATAAATGAGAAGACTGCTGGATGGGGGAGGAGGAGGAGTGGGAGGGGGCTAAGACGCAGCTGATGGAAGCCTGATCATGACGATGATGTATGAATTCGGCTCAGACTTTTACTTTTACTTTGAACCAGCATAATTATCGCCGTTTACGCTTCTTTGTTATGCCATTTCGTGAGCGACGGATGTGTAACAAATTTAAATGAAATGCACAGTAAATCTCACAGCAAAAGGGCAATAAAAGCGGGCGCAAGTGGGGGCGGGCCGCGGGCCAACTGGCTGGCAAAACAAAAAGTGTATAAATAGATGCCGAAACCGCAAAAAAAATAACCAATACGAATGCGAACAGCGGGTTGAAAAGAAAGCAGCGAATAAGTCATAATAAAAATTATAATGATGATTAAAAAAAGAGCTCAGGCCTACAGTGGGGTCTCTCAACACACGAATTTCGATAAGGCGAATCCCTACTTGATCAAAAGGTCCTAACTCAATCTACAACTAGATTTAAAAGAGTATTCAAAATACGAAGGATTCAAATAACGTAGCTCAGTTTAAGAACTTTTGAATATCAGAAATATTATCAAAAAGCTTTAAGAAATTATTCAAGCATTAAAAAGATATGAAAAAAATATAAACAAAACAAAACTGGAAAACGCAGATATCCAAGTACAAATTGTTGAACTGCAAAATTATCAAAGTTTTTTATTCACATTCTCTAGCCGAAAACTTCAGTAAACTTTTTACTTTATCTTTTTGCTGATGGTTCGAGTTATGGTATTTTGACTGTATATTAAAAACCGCTGTCAATATTGTTTTGTTGTTGTTGTTGTTGTTGTTGATGTTGATGTGGATGTTGAGAAATGTAAATGCCACAAGGCCAAGCGACAAGGCGAGGCCGCAAACACATAGGCAGACAAACTCACAGACACGCAAGCCCGTGACACAGTCATCCGCGAGTATTCTCCGTTGCCCACAAACCAAACCGAAACCGAGGTGAAAACCCATACGTATGCATATGTGCATGTCTGGCAGCGATTATCGGATTTGGAGCCCACTGTGCCCCTTATCAGTCGGGCGGCATAGCACCCACACACACACGCCACAATCACAATCACTCGCACACACGCTCGCGCGCAATCACAAACGCACTTCCCGATACCCGATAACTAACCACAGTTGGCGAGGACCTTCTGCAGCGGCATGTCCTTGGGCAGCTCCTTGGCGGACTCGTCCAGCGCCTGGGCGATCTTGTAGTGGCTGTTCTTCTTGGTCCGCTTGTCCTGCTCCTCGCTGCTAACCTGGCCATTGGCACTGCTGCTGCTGCTGTTACCGCTCCCACTCAGAGCCGGCAGCTTCCGAACGATCTTCTCGATGGTGTCCCGGTACCTGTCCACCTGCCGCTCGATCGTCTCCAGCTCCGAGTCTTTGCAGTCCGCTTTCGTCGACCTGCGGAGAGGGGACAGTAGAGAGTAGAGAGGGGGGTTGCCGTTAGGTCATCAGTCGCCCAGTTGTTGTTATTGTTGTCATTGCAGCAGCTGCTATTCGTCTTGTTTTTGTACGTTGCTGCTTTTGTTGCATTTGTTGTGGCTGCTGCCGCTGCTGTTTTCGTTGTTGTCGCTGCTAATGTTGTTGTGATGAGGCAACACCTGTCCGTCCGCCTGGAGCGCAGTCTCACACACACACAAACAGCGCCGCAGTGTCGTCGTCTGGCCTTTGAACTTACCTTGACAGATTTTCGGCTGCAATTTTGATTTTCGCAAACTGCCTCTTCATCTTGGCTGCTTCGCTTTTCCCGCTCGCGTCTCCAACGTTAACTGAACTTCGCTGTTTCTGCTTGTTTCCAAAGTGTAATTAGCTGGCCATTGAGTAAATACTTAAAACTGGCAAATTAGTCATTCTTTAACGATGTTTTACGGAAAAGTGAGCCGAATGTGACCGCGGCAGGAGCGCTAATACATACCGAATATCTGAGTAAATGCGCTACCAAACGCATTGAACATGTGCGGGATCTGGTCACACAACGCCCATTGTGAAGGGTATTCCCTATATGAGTATTTTTAATGTTTTGCGAAACCTTATCATTTGCGGAAACCAGAAAAAAGTTTGTCTTCTGTTGAGTTTATTAATTAGCTAGCACTTTCTCGCATTAATTGATTAATAATGCAAATTTTATCATTTCGGTGTTGCCAGACTGCTTCTTTTTTTGAGTAAACTATTTATTTGGTGTGGTCACACTGTGTTGCACTGCACGTGTGCGTTCGTAAAGAATAGTTTTATTATTTTTGCGGCCAAGATGACACAGGCCGAGATAGTAAAACGGCTCCGCGAGGAGTTCGATAATGAGCACAACGTGGAACAGAAGCCAAAGAAGAAGGAGGACCTGTTAGCCGCCACCAAAAAGTTCCACCAGCGTGTTCTCAACCTGTTGACCATTCACAAAGTTCCCTACTCGAAGAAAGAAGGTAAAACAATTTATATCATCCATCTAGGAAGTCACTAAACCTCTCTCCTTGCAGATGAAGACACCTACGAGGATTACCTGCTGCCAGACGACAATAAATCGGCCCCAAAAAAAGGCAAACAACAAAAACTTCCTCGCAAAGAACTAGAGGATTCCGACGACGAGGATGTGGACGAGCGAATCGCATCGATTAAGAACAAGCTCCGGCAAAAGAAAGGTCCCACAACGGAGCGCCAGCAAAAGCGGCGCGAGGCCAAGAAGCTGAAGCGTAGCAAGGGCGTCCAGAAACTGCTCCTCTCTTCCGCCAAGAACCTGAAGAACGAGAACGTCAAGCACCAGAAACTAAAGAACGGAGTGGTGAAGGCCGAGCATGATGCGGATCCGGAAGACACCAAAGCCCAAATCCAGCCGGTAAAGGTCCAGCCGGTGTACAACCAGGAGGCCAAGATAGTCTATTCCAAGGTTGACTTTGCCGCCAATCCGGGTGGCAAGACCAAGAAGTCGCACCAGAACCCCAAGGAGATCCTTAAAAAGCTGCGCGACACAAAGAAGCACATCACCGAGCTGCGCGAGAAGGGGGAGGCGGATAAGGCGGCCGAGATTCAGACGGACATCGCATGGCGCAAGGCGTTCGACAAGGTCGAGGGCAAGAAGGTCAAGGACGACACAAAGCTGCTGCAGAAGGCCATCAAGAAGCGGCGAGTGGAAAAGAAGAAGGCAAAGACCAAGTGGTCCGAGCGCAAGCAGAAGGTGGAGCACGACATCCAGAAGCGGCAGAAGAAGCGCCAGGAGAACCTCGACAAGCGCAGCAAGGACAAGCGCAACAAAAAGCTGAAAACGGCCAGCAAGAAGGGTCGCATCATACCCGGCTACTAATTCGACTCTAGCATTAAGTATAAAATTCTGTGTAATATGTAAGTTGAATATCCCCGTTGAAAATCAACTCAGATTACTGTAGAAAAAAGAGTAATCTTTTTTAAAATTCACCTTCGACTTTCGATTTGGAAATTCTCGGTCTCGGCCATTGACCAAATTCCCTCATATACCAAAATTTAAGGTTTTCGTCTTTTGTGTTCACTGTATGTCACTATCCGTTCCACTGTGCGTGTTCCGCAGACACTACAAGCGGAGGAGACCGAACAGCTGTTGCCGATAAAAACTATCGATTGTTGTCGTGTAATTGCGAAGCAGTTTGCTGAGATTTTTCCCCCAAGTTCAATATTAGCGTGGCTGCCAAAAAGTCGCGACTCGCGCTTACAATCAAATTTAGCCAAGTAATTACCAGGAGGTTCCCGACTTTGTGGGACTGCGGCATCGGCAAGAAGAAGCAAAGCTGGGCGAGAGAAGAGCAAAAGCAACGAGAGACACAGCACGCACACAGCCACACAAATTACGTGCAGAGCGCAATCTATTCCCCCATTTTCCACTGAAAATAACCGCACTGCAGGCGGAAAAGCAGCCAATTGCGACGCATTTCGCACTGCAAAGGTGATTCCGTGCAACGAACTTCAGGGCAACCCCAACTGAGCACCGCAAGCACCAACGGCAGCCACAACAATAACTTTGCAGATCGGAAGAGCAGCAAGAAGAAGCAGAGAGGAGCACTAAGCGACCAGCTGAGAAGCAAGGGGAGGAGGAAACACCGCACAGGGGGAGTAGAGGAGCAGGGGAAGCGAAGGAGGCGAGGGAGGACCAGCAGCCACCATGAGCATGGTGCGGCGGATCATCCTGCTGGGCCCCAAATACAGTGTCTGGTCGAAGGGTAAGTGCTGTCGTTACTTTTGGCCGCTATTTTTGTTTTTGCTCCCATTGTTGTTGTGCAAATCGCATACGTAACTGCGTCATTTGCTGCGCCAGCGTCACGTAGCCGCCGCGAATCAACAACACGAAATCCAACGAACAAAACAGTTCCCGTTGCCTGCAGCTTAGCGCTTTTCGATTCCAATCCCATTTGGCTTATCAACATTGCCCAGCCGTGGCTGCTGCCTCTCGCTAAATTGTAAATTTTGTCTAGTTCGAACCAAAACACTGAGTGAAGGTCGTCTTCTTTCGATATCAAAGCTGCTCGCGGTCAACGGCAAGCAGAGGCGCCGTTGGGTGGGGATCGATCGACCCGACTTTGCCAGCGTCTTCCCAGTCGGACGGGCGTCATGCGTTGCTGGTCCAACTGAACTTGAATTGTTTTATAAGGGGCCCGAATGGCCAGCTAGCTTAATTATTGCTATTGCCACTCTGACGCAATGGCTTTTTACTATGATTTCATGTCTCTGGCAGAGCAATTTCTTACACATTTTTAATGGCCAGCAACTTGGTTATTATATTTGTCGGCCTGCAGGTGAGGAAAGCGGAGAGGCGGAAGTTTAGCCAACAAAAGCTGCACTGGAAGAAACGCAGAAGCAGTTGAAAAAGTGGCAAGTCATCTGCGATATCGGAAGATGCTAATTGCCCTTGGCCTTTATTTGTTACCTCTTTGTTGTCCAATCTAGTGAGTTCCTCTCCCTCAAAAGGCAACGTAGTTATCAGTTTAATATCTCTGTGTGCTTGGGAGAGGAAACATTAACCCCGGTGGCGGACTCGTTGCTTCCATATTGTGTTCTTGCTGCATTAAACTCAATTGGGATCGGGAGCTCAGAGTCCCCTCTTCGATAAGCATTCAAAGCTTAATTTAATTATATTATTTTATGCCCTCAGGAAGCGCTGTTGGTCAGACACAGAGCACAGCAAGATGTGTCATCCTGGGCGCTCGAAACTCCGAGGTCAGCATCTGGGGCGTCCGACGTTTCCACTTGGCCACTAGGAACTGTGCCATTAGCCGCCTGGTAAGGCTAGAGCCCGCGGTGGCGATACCCGCATACATTGACATCACGAACGCCACCACACGATCGCCTGACGACCTGGGCAGCAGCACCACCGGTAGTGAGAACGCGACGGGAAGCGATAGCAGTACCAGCGCGTCTGGTGAAGGCTCCGCCAAAAGTCCCGGCGGGTCGGGGTCAGGAGCGAGCACGACCAGTAGCGGAGATCCACCGGGAGGCGGTAGTGACAAGTTCCTGTCGTGTCCGAAGTGCGGCAGTGCCTGCACACAGGTGGAGACGTTCGTCAGTTCGACTCGGTTCGTCAAGTGCGCCAAGTGCAACTACTTCTTTGTTGTGCTCTCCGAGGTCGAGACCAAGCAGCGTACCAAGGATGAGCCCAAGAACCACCGCAAACCGCCGCCGCCGCCCCAGAAGATCATGGAGTACCTGGACAAGCACGTGGTGGGCCAGGACTTTGCCAAGAAAGTGCTTGCTGTCGCCGTCTATAACCACTACAAGCGCATCCATCACAACCTGCCCCAATTGCATCAGCAGGGAAGCGGTGCGGCCGGTGGATCCGGCGGTGGTGGACTGGAGGGAATTCCCCGGCCCGACCTGCTGCACATAACCGGGATTGGTCACACGCTGAACAGTACGCCCGGCAGTGAGCTGCCCCCCAAGGCGCCCGCCCAAATGGGCCTGGGCGGCGGTATGGGCGGGCCAGGACTGGGCAGCGGACTCAGCGGATCCTCATCCAGTCACTCGCGAGGCGGCGGCGGGGACAACCGCCCTGGCTCCGAGATCCTGGACCGACAGTCCAATGATGTTAAGCTAGAGAAAAGCAACATCATCATGCTAGGCCCAACGGGATCTGGCAAAACACTAATAGCTCAGACGATCGCCCGCTGTCTGGACGTGCCCTTCGCCATCTGTGACTGCACCACGCTGACGCAGGCCGGCTATGTGGGCGAGGACATCGAGAGCGTCATTTCCAAGCTCCTGCAGGATGCCAACTACAATGTGGAGCGCGCCCAAACGGGTATTGTCTTCCTAGACGAGGTGGACAAGATCGGTGCTGTTCCTGGAATCCACCAACTTCGCGACGTCGGAGGCGAGGGTGTCCAGCAGGGAATGCTCAAGATGCTGGAGGGCACGGTGGTCAATGTGCCAGAACGCAACTCCCCGCGTAAGCTGCGAGGGGAGACCGTCCAGGTAGACACCACAAACATTCTGTTTGTGGCCTCCGGTGCGTACACAGGACTGGACAGGCTTATCGCGCGTCGTCTCAACGAGAAGGTAAAGGAGAGATCTTCGTCAGAACCTTGCATAACTTATCCTAAAACCCTTTACCTTCCTAGTATTTGGGTTTCGGCATGCCCTCAACCAGCGGATCTGGTCGTCGAGCAGCTCAGGCAGTCGCCAGTCCCATGGACAACGATCAGGAGGAGCGTGATAAATGCCTGACCAAGGTGCAGGCCCGTGATCTCGTTGAGTTTGGCATGATACCGGTAGGTGTGCAGGGGAAAACACAGAATTATATTTACCAAAAATCGCGTCTTGTTTCGTAGGAATTCGTTGGCAGATTCCCGGTTATTGTGCCCTTCCACAGTTTGAACATCAGCATGCTGGTCCGTATCCTGACGGAGCCCCGCAACGCCCTGGTGCCACAGTACAAGGCTCTGCTCGGCCTCGACGATGTGGACCTTACCTTCACCGAGGACGCTGTCAAGTCGATAGCCCAGCTGGCGATGGAGAGACACACAGGAGCACGCGGCCTGCGCTCCATAATGGTAAGCAAGCAACTCTTGGCCCTTTACCCTTGTTTAAAAACTTTATTCTTGTCTTGCCTAGGAACAACTGCTACTGGATCCGATGTTCATAGTGCCCGGATCAGACATTCGAGGTGTTCACATAACCGCCGATTACGTTCAGGGCACATCAACTCCCGAATACAGCCGCGACGCGGACACCCCGGCCTCTGGGACCGTTGCCGCTGACTCGGAGACCACAAACGATAATGATAAGAACTTTGAGGATAGTGAGAAAGTACGACTAAAACAGTAGATCAGAGATACCGATACCGATACCCACATCCAAAGCCAACCAAAACACAGAAATCAACTTCAACAGGACCTTATTTTCTTTCTATTTAGATCTTTCTTCTTATACTTCCTCTTTAGCTTGTTTCCTCTTTTCTATTGCTCGCTTTCTTTCAAAGAATACTGTTCTACCTTAAAGCTGCCTTCTGTTTCCCCACTCTAACACGTTCATATATCCTTTAGTTTGGTTTGACTGATAAATCGGTTGGTTCGTCGTAGCTCCTCCCTTCAAGCCCCATCAATCTGTAAAATATGCCCGATAAGGAGTGAATGAAAGAGCATCCCTAACATCCCCAAACCCATATGCATCTGTGATTCATAAACGACGAGCAGCGCAATCTTTTGAGCCCGACACAGTAGTGAGCAGAGTAACCAATTCTAACGGGATAGATTAATTAAATAAAAGCCACATGTTTTTTTAAAAAATACCCAATACACGTAGGATCGATCGGAAATCTGCAATGTTGGCAGGGTGTGGTCGAGGTCTGTACCTCTGGACTCCTCGGATCCTAGGATCCTCTCTTGCATATACCAATTATATTTACAATCGTAAAAATATATCTAGGCAAATTTTGCATAGTCTAAACTGAGTTTCTAAATGAGTTCTGGTTGCGTTATAATGACGACAAACGAGAGCAGCAAGTTCTACTTTTAACTACTTTAAGTTGAGAAATCAATTTTGAAAATACAAAAAAAGAATTAATAAAAAAAAAAGAAAATAAACAATATAAATTGCATAGTTTTTATTTGTGATCGAATTTTGATATAACGAAAAGGAATATTTTATTGGAAAATATGAGGGCCTTGGGAGAGGGTGCACATTGCGATGGGGCCTGGTCAAGTCTCTAGTGCCTGAAGCCTGCCTCTCCCAGTATGCCTTTAATATGGAGGTGTTTTGGCCAAATATCGATTGCGAGATGTTCATTTTTGTTCTACCCATTGAGAAAAGGCAGAGGGAATATACGTAAATATACCCTTGCAGGGTTTTATAATTTCAGTCAGTTCTTGATCAGCATCAACAGCCTAGTTGATCTAGCCATGTTCATCTGTCCGTCCGTCTGTGCGTTTTTACGCAGACTAGTCCGAATAAAACTTTGCATATATTCTTCTGCTATATATGTCGGAACGGGCCGGATTGGACGACTATATCATATAGCTGCCATACAAATAATCGATAAATTTTTAGAATAAACAAGAAAGGAAGCTAACTTCGGCACGCCGAAGTTTGTATACCCTTGCAGATATTATTTCATTACATTTTACCTATACTTATTATGTTTACAGTTTGACAGTTACAGTTTTGCATTCCCAGCTTTACATTTTCTCTACATCTACCGATCGTTTATATGGCAGCTATATGATATATTTGTCCGATTTTTATAAAATTTATACCAAAATTTTAGAATAATAAAATAAGCTTATATCCCGAAGTAGATGAAAAAACGTTGAAAAACAAGGAAGCAATAATTTTTTTCCTAATAATTTCCCGATCGTTCCTATGGCAGCTATATCATATAGTCGTCCGATTTTCATAAAATTTTTACCAAAATTCTGAAATATTATAAAATGGTCATATCTAAAAAACGGTGCAAAAATGCTTAAAAACAGCAAAGTTATAATTATTTTTCTAAAAATTTATCGAACATTTGTATGGCAGCTATATGATATAGTCGTCCGATCCGGCCCGTTCCGACATATATAGCAGTGAGAGTATATAGAAGACTATATGCAAAGTTTCATTCAGATACTTTTAAAACTGAGGGACTAGTCTGCGTAGAAACGGACAGACGGACATGGCTAGATCGAATCGGCTGTTGATGCTGATCAAGAATATATATACTTTATAGGGTCGGAAACGTGTCCTTCAGTGCGTTGCAAACTTCTGACTGAAATTATAATACCCTGCAAGGGTATAAAAATTAGAACTAGGCTGTTTTTTAATATTATATATTTTCATAATTTTTGAGATATTGCAATTTTTTATTATTTTAGAATTTCGGTTTTAATTTTATGAAAATACGATGATTATATCACATAGCTACCATAGAAACGATCGGCAGAATGTACAGAAAAATGTAAAGCTGCGAGTGTAAAACTGTAACTGTCATACTGTAACCATACATTTTCAGCATTTAAATTTGAAATATAAATATCAATCCCAAATTATTGTATGCTATGTATAAATATACAACATTTGTTTCAACATTTCTTTTTTATTTATAATTATTTAACCAGAACGGATCGATTCTTAATGATCCCATTGCAATCTGCAAGGGTATACAAACTTTTACGTGCCGAAATTAGCTTCCTTTCTTGTTTTTATAATCCCAAGTAAGTACGACAAGTTTTATAGACAAATCTTAAAGGCTTTATTTTTAATTACTTTTATTTTATTCATCATTAAAATTCAACTAAATCTGCAGAACTCATAATAAATAATCTGAATTTATTGCACATATGGACTAAAAGTAGTTCCTTGTTTTTGTTTGTTTTTCTGTTTCTTTTTCATTTCGTAGTGTATAAATTTGTATAAAAATTTGTAAGTTAATAAATATCTTTTGACGGCCCTCAATCGTTCTCCTCTGAAATGAGCAGCTCGTACTCCTGTGCCGCAAACCGATCCCAGTCGGAGGTCTGTAAGTAGAAGAAACTATTAAAGAAACACCACAGCTGGGGATACCGGGGACACTAACATATTCGTCACGCTGTGAGGCGAATGGATCCCGTTGTTCGTGATCCAGATACTTCTCCAGGTTGAAGAAGGTATCAAAGAATACGTGCGTCATTTTGCACCGCTTCAGATCGCCCAACGTGATGCAGTCGCGATTCGCCGGCTTAATCATGTCCAGCATCTGCAGAAAAGAACATATTAATTTAATAAAGGACCCCAAACGGAAGATTAAGAGTGATCCTCACTTGGCAAAGACAGTCCTCGAAAGGCAGGCATTCGATGCCTATACCCTCCATCCGTTGCTGCTGCTCCTCGTAGAAGTACTCCAGCTCGTACATGGAGAGCACCCCATCGCCGTCCACGTCCATGCAGCGGAACCAGTACTCGATGGCCGTCGGTGTGCGCTTGTCCTCCTCGGACAGGATGAACCACACGAAGTCTGTATAGGACATCTTTGCCTCGTCCTCCGGAGCCTTTTTGTTATCGCTGCGCGTTACACAGCCCGAAAAGATCCGCTCCACGATGCGCGTGGATAAAGCGTGGTCACTGTGCTTTGCAAGATCCTCCTGGCTGATCAGAAGGTCATGATCCTTGTCAAGCTCCCAGAACTTGCAGTAGATCACGTAGAAGTGCTCGTAGCTGAAGAAGGCCATTATCTGGTTGATGTCCTCCTCCTCCTCCAGCAGGCTAATCATCTGTGGACGGTAGGGCTGAGTATGGGGATTTAAAAGTCGGTCAGAGTGTGTAGCTCACCTCCAGAAGATCGGACCGCTTCAGCTCGGATATTGTGATCTTGCCGCTCCAACTGCGGTTCACCGAATAGAAAATGCGCGCGATTACCGTGTGCACGTATCTGGAATGGAACTCGGTGGCCTCCTTGAGAAACGCCAGGCCGGGGTGTGTGTCCACCACATCCTGCACCATTGGCACCAGATCCTCGGGCACGATGTATGAGCGGAATCTCTGGCCACGCGACAAAATGTACACGAATCTCGAGGCCGCCTCATGGCAATACACGTTCATTCTGAAAGTAACAAAAATAAAGTAAGATGAGGAATATTCGAGGAAGGATTAGAGCTTACTGTTTCCAGAACTCGACGAACCGCTGGCGCTCGACAAGACCCGTGCTGGTCGACTGGCAGAAGACCATTACCGGCAGGCGCCAGTAGAAGGGCAGGCCGCAGATCTTTAGGATGCGGGGCAGCTCATCCTTGGTCACCTGGTTGTTGGGAAAGCTGTCGAATGCGGAAAGAATGCCACGAATCACCCGCTCCATGGCGATCGTGGGCTGTGGTTTGCCATGGGGAAAGTAGAACCTGTCAGGGAATTAAGTAATCAGAAATGAGATTTCACTGGGACGCTCGGATCCTCTCACCTAGGTATGTAGACGCTCTTTGTAGAGCGGATCTCCTTCTGAAGCAGATTCTGTTCCGGCGGCGGCGGCGGAGTGGCGTGCAGCTTGACCTGTCGACAAATATGAGGCAAAATTAATATCCCTCACTAACTGTTTACATTCGCTTGTTGTGGCTGCCAAAGCGCCACTCAATAAAATTTGCAATTTATTCTCGAAAAATGTTCTTTTGTTTACGTTTTCGCGGAAACTTTTTCTCACTCTCGGCCACAAAGCCGCAGACAGCCACGCCCATATCGACGTATGTTCGCCCTTTACCTTTGAATTTATTATTAAATGTTTGCCATTCAAATAAACACCAACGAATTGTTGCCTAATTTAAGCGGTGAGTGGCCGGCGGAGCAATAGCAGCAAAAAAGTATTTGTTTAAATTAACTTTTCGCTTTGGTAAATAATGGAAACATATTGGGCCCGTGGGATTTTTATGTTGCGAATTTTTGGCCAGTACATGGTCTGTGAGTTCATGGAAAAATTGCATAAAATTAAAGGAGGAAAAGGCGGAGGCGGAAGCAAGACATCTTGGGCAATACATTTTATTTGAAAGATAAAATAAAGAAAGTATAAATCCTTCTGCGGGGGCGCCTTATTGCATGTTAACATTTCATACCGAATGACCGTGAAATATAATGGAGTAAAACAATTAACAATGTTTCAATTATATATCTAGTTTCATATTTTTCTGCACCTAATCCTCAGATCTAAACGGACTTTAATCCACGCACGGCCATTCATGATTTTAAAACTGTCAACGACGACATAAATATTAATCTTCTCTGACGACCATCACCACATCGGCAAGCTTACCACTCCCCCTCCAACCAAAAGGCAAACAATTCATTGGCATCTACGCCCATTACGTATACGCCCGGCTACACATCGTTTATAGTCAAATATTACGCATACGCATTGTTGCCTAATTTATAGACAAAGGCAAAGAGCACGAAAAACACTTGAGAATCGAACGCGGGCTGAATGCTGCTCAACTCATGTCTGTGCCTGCCTAAGAACTTAATTGCAAAAATAGTTTTTGGTGTTTCTCCGAGGACTGTATTTTTAGCAGTTCTGTTTGCTTTGATCAGAGACCAAGTGAGGAATTTCCCAAGCAATCGTAGTAAAGTAAAGTTCAGGAGGCGAAGAGATTTTTTGTTTCGGTAAGTCATTCATAGAATAAAAAACGGAATATGCCATGCCCGCCCGCACATGTAATTAAGTAATTAAACAAATCTACTCAAAATAAAAAACCCCAACCGTAGCAACAATCAGCACAAAACCAACAAAAGCAACAAATTGCATTTCGAATCGCTGAAAGTGATGATGATCATGTGTTGTTTTGTTGTATTGAATTCGGTTTTGTGTTTGCTCGCCTCATTTTTGTTGTTTTTTCCTCCTCCCTCCGATATTTTGCTTTAGCACGATCGCGCACTGATCGTAAATGCTTGATTTGATTGTTTATATACGAAAATATGCATACTACACAAGGGGCACTCGATGTGGGTAAGTGAGTCCACTATAAATGCCGCCGACTAAGCCCCGCACGAAAGAAGCTGAGTAGTCAACAGGTTCTCCTGATCGCCGTCAGAACACATTTTAGAAGATAGCTTTTTGTTGAATTCATTAATACTATTATTTCACGATTTCAATAAAGGTGCT